ATTCGTAAATCATTATTTTTGAGATTGTAAGTACCAGGATTCGAACTCCGGTCCTGCTAAATGTGAAGCTCAGAATCAGCGCACCTTAACCAACTGATCCAAAGCCGTACTTGACTTTTTTGTTCGCATATTTTTCTGGAGTTTTATTACTTTTGCTATGAAAGTTTTTATTAACAATTTTACTTGCTGTGTTTATATTACAACAAAATTACAAACCAGCTGTAGAATAACTGAATTAATTAACTAATTATATTTTTATATTTAATTGTTAAATTTCAATATTATTCTGTTCTATTAATAAAATAATAATATTAAATTTTTAAAATAAAAAATAAATAATAAAAAATAGATACATTATTAAATAATAAAATATATAATTATAATAAAATTAATAATTTATAATTAAATAATAAAAAATAGATATAATATTAAAAATAATACTAACTTCTTACTTACTTATTTGGCCTTAACAACCCGTTACCGAGTTTCGGCTTGACGCTTTCTGCAGTCTCGTACATCAAGTCCTGTTAGTGCTCCCTCAACTTGATCACTTCAACGGAGATACGGTCTACTTTTGCGTCTTCTTCAACTTACTACTGCTTCAAACACCTTTTTTGCTGGAGCGTCTTCATCCATTCCAGCCAGCGAAGCCGCTGGATGTTAATTCGCTGCATTATCTCAATGTCGTGATAAAGCTCATAGAGCTCGTGGTTCATTCGGAGTTGGTTGTCGTCGCCAATTCGTAGAGGACCAAAGATCTTACGAAGAACTTTTGTCTCGAACACTCCTAGTGCTGCTTCATCATTCTGTGATAACGTCTATGGTTCTGCGCCATACAGAAGCACAGGGAGAATAATATGAAACTATGAAATAATAAATCAAATAAATATTCAGAATAATCTGAGACTAATAAATAATAAATTTATTAAAAAAAAAAATAAAATAAATACAATAATAAGTGTAATAAAAAAGTAATAAATTATATATGGTTTTTTAACTTATCACCATTAACTATTGTTATTACAATCAAGTGACTACAATATACAATATATGTGACTAAACGACATGTAAATTGCTAATCAATGTAAATGCCAATGATAATCTGGTGTTATATCGTATGTACACATAGAAATAAATAATTTCTTCCAATATGTTCATATATAATAATTTATTTATATATAATATGTAAAATTTGTCGTTAATTTACTTGATTTATTATCGGTTGGTTGTATGAGTTTGCATTTCAACCTTAAAACAATGTCAAAATCGATTGGTTTTCACGTTCCAAATCGATTGTTACGATGTCACCAACAGTTCGAAAGAGAAAAATGAAGAAAATTTTTCGTTATTTATTTTTCCGCCTTTCATACACTCGTACAATTCAATTTCCAGTTCAGTTCAGTTCCTTTCAATTCGGTTCGATTCAATTCGATTCGACTCGACTCGATTCAATTGAATTGAATTTTGTGTTATTTCATATTATTTGGCTTACATTTGTTAACTGCGGTTAAAGTGGCAACACGCGCGTTGAATAAACATTTATGACGGATCATTTCTTGGTACGGTTTTGTATGCAAAATTCGTATGCAAATATTTAAGTACCGCGATGTTTGCGCATATTTATGCCAAAGATGACAAAATACACGAAATGAAAAACATTTCTCAGACTTATTAGCGTCAATATTTGTAAAGATGATTGTGTAAATTTTCATATTAGAAATCATAAAAATAGAAAAACAAATCAAAGTTCAACTAAGTCAATTTTGTGCCGCAGCATTACTGACGAGAACGAAGTCAATGATTTACAAAAAATGCGGGCACGTAGACATCGCAAATACCGAATACCGACAAATGGGTATAATTGTGGATTAAGACATACACGTACGTAAATACTTAAGCCTACTTGATTTGTATTTATAACAAACCAACAAATAAATTATTGTTGGTTTTCATTAACGTATCAACCTGTCGCAAATAACTGCTTTTAATTTGTTATAGCTGTTATATGTGTAAGTAGCGAAGTAAGATACTAGCTTAATATACCTACACATACACTTTTCTACGCTACTAATTTATTGTACAGTATATATAAAAATTTTACCACAAGTTAAACTATTTATTGGCCTTGATGTCGTCACTTCCCTGTTGTCTGTTATGTTGTGTTTCTTGTTGAAATTTGTCGCCATTGTTGTTGACCTTTGAGGGCTTATGAATAAAATGAACTTGATTATTTTTGTGTGTCCCTGACGCCAATGAAGGTCTTTGATTACATATAACCAAATATCAGTACAATATGTATATATACGAGTATATGAAAATTATATATACTATTGAAAATAACAACCTTAAGTTTTTAATATAATTGCTAACCATCTTATGTTTCTATACAAGATTAAAGATATAACCAACAATAAAATGTACACAAGTAATAATAAAAATAAAAATAGAATAAACCGACTTGAAAGAATATGAGAAGAATTTTCAGCACATTTTCTATATTGAAAAGAATACGTTAAAATTTGTCAAAATTTTGCTATCCATGGCAATATGAAAATGACAACATCAAAAAAAATTTTATGCATATTTTGGCATTTGAAAAATTTCTAAAATCACAAAGCTCCAATCTGAAACTAAGATTCGTAAATATATATAATCAAATCTGTGTATAAGTTAATTCCATATACTTAATACAAACGAACAACAAAAGCCATTAAGCCTACTCACATGCGAACACTTTATCAACTGAGCAATGAATTTCTAGCCTTGGCTACGGTAATTTTATGCTTTTCGGCTCCAATCATGCCACTCCTGTCAGTTGTTCCACTTTTGTGATAGCACAAGCCATAGCTTGTTTTTGCCCCTTTTTTGCTTTTAGGTCAAACTGATAATATAACCAAAAATAAATGACCAAGAAGAGGAAAAAGAAACAAAATTTAAAAAAATAATTTAATAAAAAGAAAACGTGGCAACAATTCACAGACGCGCTTCCTTGATTCGTCTTATAAGTCAGATTGTTGTGCTTTTTCTTCTTCCTCTTCAAGATATTCGATTCCTGGCCAACCAACATGACAACGAGTCTTAGGTTTTCGCAAGAATGAGATAAATTTCATACATAAGCTCAGTTGGAAAGTCGTGATAGCATTTTTGTATTTCAATTTGTTTCTTGAGTGTTATTATAGATTATCTGTTTAAATAATATTAAAGATTATGGATTAAATTATGTTAAGTTCATGTAAAATAAACCTCCGTGTCAATGCTGGAATATTGCTAAAGTTTTCAATTTATGAAAATATTATAGAAATATAGAGTAAAAGTATGAAATTTTATTTTATATTAAATTCGGTTTAACATAAGATATTAATTTTGTTTAAGCAATGCATGTTTAATGCAGGTAAGTCAGCTTAGTTCTTACAAATTATGTTGCAGATAGTTGTATAATACAATATTCTAAATTGATTACTAGAAATTTAGATATGTGACCACACATGTGCAGTTAGAATACCCTTGTGCCGCTTATGCACCTACGGAATAGGCTCCTGGGAATGTATATTCGTACGAAAGAGGCAATAAATCTCTGTAAAGTAGGTTCTATACTACTTTTTATTGACGCAAAAGGGCTTAGAGACTTACTCTAAACTCAGAAGGACGCACAATAAACCCAACGGTCGCAGTGCCACATCCACAACAATAGTAATAATAATAATAGATATATGGCCATGTATAATAATTACTACAACTTAAAACTCAAAATGTAATAATTAATTAAATAATGTTAATTTAGAGTATTTGTAGTTCACTTTTTAATTAATTTTAATTGATAAAAAGACTGTAGTGTAAAAAGCTTATAGATTAGTTTTTATTTCTGTTTTTATTATTATTAGTACTCAATATAACTATCGCCAAAGTTTTGCCAAAGTATATACTTTATACATGTAAATGTAGTTTAGGTTAGCTTATACCGGCGATCCCAAGGGATAAACTTAAGCCTAAAAGCCCATTATGTTACAGGAAAACCAAAAACTCTAGAGTTAGAACCACTAAGAATCTTTCGCAAAACGGAGTATTATTACAATTGCTCTTGAAAACGTATAAGACTGTTGATCTATACAGGAACCTGTATTAATAAAAATTAAAATTATATTATATTACAAAATGTGGTTAATTGGCTTTTCTTGGGTGTTCCAACCCAAATACATCTCACCATTGACCATATTAACACCATCAATATAACAATAGAATAGTTTGAGTATAATAGCACTCTGTACCTTATATCTTGTCAATTTAGATCAAGAGGAACCAGATTAGCAGATTAGAGTTGATTTAAATATAAATCTCAAAACTATATTGGTTTTTAAGGGTCACCTTCTCATAGGACGGTAAGTAATTTTCTACAGATCACGCAGATGATATCACAGGTATTCTAGATATGTTTTAGATCAGTAAAATAATTCTCCAGATCCAGATGGTTATATATGGGCTTAATGTTAGAATATGTTAGACAATATGTAAAGCCTTTAATTCAACTAAATACTCTTATATGTTATATTTTGATCATTCCTATGTTCAGGTAGTAATAAAACAAACTCAAGAAGATTTAAATTAAAAATGTTAAGTGAAAAGGATCGACATTATATTTGACTACTTATTTCGGTTAAATGAAAAGTATCCTTCATCTATCATGTTATAAAAAAATATAATATTAGTATTAATCTCAATTTAGTTGATTGGTTAAATTCAATTTATTTGAAAAATAAAAAATTGTTATATAGTTTCATAAAATTGTTAAAATTAAATAATAGAGATAATTTGCATCATTAAAGCTAATAAATTTTAAAAAAACTAACCAAATACTATACATAAAATTAGAACATATTACTATCGAGAATAAAAAATGTTGGTCAAGAACACTTCGTGTAAATTTATTATTTAAGTAAATCGATTATAATTAATACAGTTGGCAACATCAAAACCAATTTAATAAATTAAGTAATTAAAAATCTAATTTATCTGACTAATTTAACTATTTTTAATTCAAATTAGTTTCAATCTGATTGCAATTCATCAATGTAATTTTTTAGGTTTTTAATAGTTTCTAGTAATTCATTTTGCTTTAAGCATTTGGCTTTTTTCTTGTCAACGCACTTCATCTCGTTTTTGTCGAAACGTTCATCATCATCGCACTGCAAACGCTCAAATTCATTTTTGTCAGATTTGTCTATGCACTTATAATAGTATTTACAATCTTTATAGTCCGGGTAGATATCATCTTCTTTACATTGTAGACCATCCAGTTTTCTTACAAGTTCCTTGAGAATTTTCTTATTTTCTTGAATTTTTCTTTCCTCATTATTCGTACTCTCGCTTTCATCGGCTTTCTTTGCTTTAGTCTCTTCAATTAATTTTTTTAAAACAGTTACAACTGTGGGTGTTGCTGGCTTCTGTTTTTCAGGTACTGGTCTTAAAACTGGAGTTTCTTGTGTGAGGACATCCTGTTCGCTCTGAGCACTCTGCGTACTTTGCGCACTTTGTTCGCTATCATCGCCTTCATTGAGATTTTGTGTTGGAATTTTATTGACGCTAATAGGTCCCTGCGGTGGTTTGACTAATGGTACAGATGGTAATTGTGGTAAGGACATGTCGACACGTCCACGCGCAAGACCTGCTCCAATATATGGGTATGCGTTTTTATTAGGCCTAAATGGAGTATATGGTCTCATGTTCTTTATTTTCTGAATATGTTTGGCATTATTAAGTGTATCTATAATCCGGCGAGCTGCCACGTTTGAATATATCGGATAATTTGAATAAGGTAGTCTTGGTTTATTGGAATTTCCTAATACAATCGGTCTGCTTGGAACCGGATAGGAAAATGCAGTATTTGGACGATTTGGTCTACCATAAAATCCAGATGAACCTGATGGTGGTGGTCTGGCAGCAAATATAGGTTTAAGTGCGGCCGCTGCAAGAATTGAAAGTGCTATATCTGCTGGTACACGTGAACCACCTGGATAACTAAAAACTGAGTTCGGTGGAACTGGAGCACCAGTAGTTGCTGGATCAATTGCAGCTGAAGCAGCAACGTTTGCGGGCACAGCGGAGTCATCTGATGAAGCAGCTGTCGAATCCACTGGAGCGAGTGCAGAGTCAACTGGACCTGAAACAGGATTGACTGCAGCAGCTGAGTCATCAACAGTGGCTGTAGAATCTGCTGGAGCAGCCGCTGGATCTGTTGCAGCAGGCACTGTAGCAACCGTAGGATCTGCTGATGCGGTAGCTGGATCTGTAGGAGCAGCTACTGGGTCAACCGGTGCAACTGAAGGATCAACAGCGGCTGTGGGATCTACTGGAGATGCTGTATCGTCTGATGTTGTTGTGTCAACTGGAGCTGAGGAGCTTGGAGAAGATGCTGTCGAATCAACTGGAGCTAGCGCAGGGTCAACTGGACCTGAAACAGGATCAACAGGAGCAGCTGCAGGGTCAGTAGCGGCGGGAGCATCTACTGGAGCTCCTGCTGGGGCTGCTGCTGGATCAGCTGGAGCAGCTACTGGGTCAACTGGTGCAACTGAAGGATCAACAGCGGCTGTGGAATCTACTGGAGCTGCCGTATCGTCAGAGGTTGTTGTGTCAAGTGGACCTTAGGGGTTTGGAGGTCCAGCTGTTGGATCAACTGGAGCATGTGCTGGGTCTGCTGGGGCTGCTGTAGGATCAACAGGAGCAGCTGCAGGGTCAGTAGCGGCGGGAACATCTACTGGAGCTCCTACTGGAGTTGCTGCTGGATCAGCTGGAGCAGCTACTGGGTCAACCGGTGCAACTGAAGGATCAACAGCGGCTGTGGGATCTACTGGAGCTGCCGTATCGTCTGATGTTGTTGTGTCAACTGGAGCTGAGGAGCTTGGAGAAGCAGCTGTTGAATCAACTGGAGCTGCAGCTGGATCAGCTGAAGCAGCTGCTGAGTCAACCGGTCCAACTGAAGGATCAACAGCGGCTGTGGGATCTACTGGAGCTGCCGCATCATCTGATGTTGTCGAATCAACTGGAGCGAGTGCAGGGTCAACTGGACCAGTTACAGGATCAACAGGAGCAGCTGCAGGGTCAGTAGCGGCGGGAGCATCTACTGGAGCTCCTGCTGGGGCTGCTGCTGGATCAGCTGGAGCAGCTACTGGGTCAACCGGTGCAACTGAAGGATCAACAGCGGCTGTGGGATCTACTGGAGCTGCAGCATCGTCTGATGTTGTTGTGTCAACTGGAGCTGAGGAGCTTGGAGAAGCAGCTGTTGAATCAACTGGAGCGAGTGCAGGGTCAACTGGACCTGAAATAGGATCAACAGGAGCAGCTGCAGGGTCAACTGGACCAGTTACAGGATCAACAGGAGCAGCTGCAGGGTCAGTAGCGGCGGGAGCATCTACTGGAGCTCCTGCTGGGGTGCTGCTGGATCAGCTGGAGCAGCTACTGGGTCAACCGGTGTAACTGCAGGATCAACCGCGGCTGTAGGATCTACTGGAGCTGCAGCATCGCCTGATGTTGTTGTGTCAACTGGAGCTGAGGAGGTTGGAGAAGCAGCTGTCGAATCAACTGGAGCTAGCGCAGGGTCAACTGGACCAGTTACAGGATCAACAGGAGCAGCTGCAGGATCAGTAGCGGCGGGAGCATCTACTGGAGCTCCTGCTGGGGCTGCTGCTGGATCAGCTGGAGCAGCTGCTGGGTCAACCGGTGTAACTGCAGGATCAACCGCGGCTGTAGGATCTACTGGAGCTGCAGCATCGCCTGATGTTGTTGTGTCAACTGGAGCTGAGGAGGTTGGAGAAGCAGCTGTCGAATCAACTGGAGCTAGCGCAGGGTCAACTGGACCAGTTACAGGATCAACAGGAGCAGCTGCAGGATCAGTAGCGGCGGGAGCATCTACTGGAGCTCCTGCTGGGGCTGCTGCTGGATCAGCTGGAGCAGCTGCTGGGTCAACCGGTGTAACTGCAGGATCAACCGCGGCTGTAGGATCTACTGGAGCTGCAGCATCGCCTGATGTTGTTGTGTCAACTGGAGCTGAGGAGGTTGGAGAAGCAGCTGTCGAATCAACTGGAGCTAGCGCAGGGTCAACTGGACCAGTTACAGGATCAACAGGAGCAGCTGCAGGATCAGTAGCGGCGGGAGCATCTACTGGAGCTCCTACTGGAGCTGCTGCTGGATCAGCTGAAGCAGCTAGTGGGTCAACCGGTGCAACTGAAGGATCAACAGCGGCTGTGGGATCTACTGGAGCTGCCGCATCGTCTGATGTTGTTGTGTCAACTGGAGCTGAGGAGCTTGGAGAAGCAGCTGTCGAATCAACTGGGGCGAGTGCAGGATCAACTGGAGCGAGTGCAGGATCAATAGGAGCAGCTGCGGGATCAGTAGCGGCGGGAGCATCTACTGGAGCTCCTGCTGGGGCTGCTGCTGGATCAGCTGAAGCAGCTAGTGGGTCAACCGGTGCAACTGAAGGATCAACAGCTGCTGTAGGATCTACTGGAGCTGCAGCATCGTCTGATGTTGTTGCGTCAACTGGAGCTGAGGAGCTTGGAGAAGCAGCTGTTGAATCAACTGGAGCGAGTGCAGGGTCAACTGGACCTGAAATAGGATCAACAGGAGCAGCTGTAGGGTCAGTAGCGGCGGGAACATCTACTGGAGCTCCTGCTGGGGCTGCTGCTGGATCAGCTGGAGCAGCTAGTGGGTCAACCGGTGCAACTGAAGGATCAACCGCGGCTGTAGGATCTACTGGAGCTGCAGCATCGTCTGATGTTGTTGTGTCAACTGGAGCTGAGGAGGTTGGAGAAGCAACTGTTGAATCAACTGGAGCTAGCGCAGGGTCAACTGGACCAGTTACAGGATCAACAGGAGCAGCTGCAGGATCAGTAGCGGCGGGAGCATCTACTGGAGCTGCTGCTGGATCAGCTGGAGCAGCTAGTGGGTCAACCGGTGCAACTGAAGGATCAACAGCGGCTGTAGGATCCACTGGAGCTGAAGCATCGTCTGATGTTGTTGTGTCAACTAGAGCTGAGGAGCTTGGAGAAGCAGCTGTTGAATCAACTGGAGCGAGTGCAGGGTCAACTGGACCTGAAATAGGATCAACAGGAGCAGCTGCAGGATCAGTAGCGGCGGGAGCATCTACTGGAGTTCCTGCCGGGGCTGCTGCTGGATCAGCTGGAGCAGCTACTGGGTCAACCGGTGCAACTGAAGGATCAACAGCGGCTGTAGGATCTACTGGAGCTGCAGCATCGTCTGATGTTGTTGTGTCAACTGGAGCTGAGGAGCTTGGAGATGCAGATGTTGAATCAACTGGAGCGAGTGCAGGATCAACAGGAGCGAGTGCAGGATCAACTGGAGCAAGTGGAGGATCAACTGGACCAGTTACAGGGTCAGCAGGAGCAGCTGCAGGATCAGCAGAGGCGGTAGCATCTACTGGAGCTCCTGCTGGTACCGGTGCTGGATCAGCTGGAGCAGGTATTTGGTCAACCGGTGCAATTGAAGGATCAACAGCGGCTGTCGGATCTACTGGAGCTGCCGTATCGTCTGATGTTGTTGTGTCAACTGGAGCTGAGGAGGTTGGAGAAGCAGCTGTTAAATCAACTGGAGCTGCAGCTGGATCAGCTGGAGCAGCTACTGGGTCAATCGGTGCAACTGAAGGATCAACAGCGGCTGTGTCAACTGGAGCTGAGGAGCTTGGAGAAGCAGCTGTCGAATCAACTGGAGCGAGTGCAGGATCAACTGGAGCGAGTGCAGGATCAATTGGAGCGAGTGGAGGATCAACTGGACCAGTTACAGGATCAACAGGAGCAGCTGCAGGATCAGTAGCGGCGGGAGCATCTACTGGAGCTGCTGCTGGATCAGCTGAAGCAGCTAGTGGGTCACCTGGAGCAACTGAAGGATCAACAGCGACTGTAGAATCTACTAGAGCTGTACCATCGTCTGATGTTGTTATGTTAACTGAAGCTGAGGAGCTTGTAGAAGCAGCTGTCGAATCAACTGAGGCGAGCGCAGGGTCAACTGAGGAGACTACGGCATCCACAGAGGCAGTAGGATCTATTGGAGTAGCTGCTGGATCTGCAGGAGCGGCAGCTGGTTCAACGGCAGCAAGTGTAGGATCTCCTGAAGCAGATGCAGGATCAGCTGTTGCTGAGGTATCTGCAGAAAGTATAACATCAACTGGAATTACAATGTCATCTTGGGCTACCGCGTCAGTCGGGGACGCTATTTCTGTAGGAATGGTTGATTCGGCAGTAGCTGCTACATCCACTGAAATTGCAATATTATCTTGTACCGTTGTGTCTACTGGGACACCAGCATCAACTTGAGGTACTGGATCTACAAGTACTATGTCATCTGCTGGAACCAATGCTTCTACTGCAATTGCAGTATCAGTATTTGATTGAATGGCAGGATCTACTGATACGGCAGGATCTGCTGACACTGCAGGATCTACTGATACTGCAGGATCAACTGCCACTGCAGGATCTACTGATACTGCAGGATCAACTGCCACTGCAGGATCTGCTGAGGCGGCTACATCTGTTGGAACGACTGCGGTATCTGCTGCTGCGATATCAACTTGAAGTGTTATGTCACTGGGCGCAGCAACGTCTACTGGAACTGCTGGTTTTGTTGGAACTGCTACATCCACTAATGGAACTGGATCTATTAAAGTTGCTACATCATCTATTGCAGATAATGCGAAATCTAGTGGAGCGGCAGCAACTGCAGGCCCCTCTGTTATGGGATCAGATTTTATTATGAATTCTGGTTCCGGTACTGATAGAACTGGTTCAACTGATATTGATACCGATTTTGGTTCTGTTGGTGGTATAGAGGAATCAGAAACTGCAATGCTGACTGGGCTTATGGGTGATCCTGTTGCTAATGCGCCAAACTGTAAGTACAGAATATTCACATAATGATTTCATCAAATATCAAGCAAACACAGTGCTTGGAAAGTGTCATTTAAATCTAAGGTTAAACTGAAGTTAATATTTTATTACACAATATTATTTTCCTGTACATTATTATTGTATCCACAAGATATCAAAAAACAAAAATGATTTTATAATACAATTTTTTTATTTAAATTTTTTTGTTAAAACTTGCATAGTTTGCCGATGATGTGCTGTTTTCGTACGTTTCAATTTGAATCCACGAAAGTATCACAAGTAAAAGCTTGTTAGTTTTGTTAGGTTAAGTGCAGTATTTTGTTATAGTTATTATGTTAGGTACAAGATGTTTTGTTTGTTTAACACACACACACACAAATAGAAAAGAGAGCACTGATTAAAATGGCGTTTCCATGTTATTGCAAATAAAAAATTACCACTAGCAGGATAAAGAATCCGATTAATTTAGAAGTTGCCATCGTTTTCGTTCGAATGTAACTTTGTTACTGATTTCTATCTGATAATGCAAGGATGCTTTTAAAGCAAAAATTTATATTTTTCATTAAATATCTTATCTTTTGCAAGTTTGTTTTTTGATGTTGCAGTATCAATAGCTGTATTTCATGAGAGATTTTATATCTTATGCGGTATATAAGATAAACAAGATAAAATAATTATGTTCAATTTTCTTTTTTTGTGTTTGGATTAAGTCTCATTTAAATATAATCGTGCGTGGAATATGATTCATTCATTCATAATTGTTTTTATTGCATTTTCTTACTTATAAGAATTCAATAGAACGAAGTATGTTGTTCTTTAGATATTTCTTTTTTTACGTCATTAACTTTGATTAACATCATTATTATGTTTGTCTTAGAGTTTTATGAATGAAATCGTTACGCTTTGATGTGTTAAAAAAAAAATTGTAGTGAAGCTTTTTATTCACACAATTTAATATAGAACATATTATTTAGTGATTTCTACAGAATTTTTTTTTCACTTATATTGTGTACTTTAAGTGCAGTTAGGGTACACTTTTGTCTTTTAATTTTTGATTTATTTCATATTTTTAGCACAGTTAGCCATCACTTTATTTTATAAACTGTACATATATAAAATATAAAAATATATGGGACTAAACTTAATTATAAATTAAAGATATTTTCCATTTTAATTTTAAAAACTTTAGCAAATACTATTGTAGACACAATAGTGATATGTGAAAAATAGTGATTTTGTAAAGAAAATTTCAGTAAATAATAAGTCTTAAGATAAATACTTCCTTTCAAGGAAAACTAATACAATTAAGTTGGAGATTTAAAGTCAAATATACTTGGTTCTTTATTCCAAAAAGGTCTTGCCCACGGATAAACGCCCGCTAATGTATCAGGAAATAGATAAACAGACAAATAGAGCTCCAATCAACATAAGTTCTAACAGATCGTACTAATCTTCAAGACTGTCAAAATTTGTTCTGGAATATATTTTGCTTCTGTCACTTTCCAATAATCTGTGGAATATTCTTATAGAATATTCGAACATTACCTTGTATGCAAGTTTTTGTTGTTATATGTAATTATTTTATATAAAACAAAACAAAAATATAATAATACATTCAGCACAAAGTTGTCGGATTTTTAATAATATTTTTGATATAATAGTGTCGTTTGAGATTAATTTAAAATCTAACAAACAATGAATTATTTCAACTATATATCATCTATATTTCAATATATAAATTTAATTTGATAAAAGTATGCTCTCAAAATTAAAGATTTAGAAGCAATATAAGAAATTAGTAATGTATGTTTTTTAGTATTTTAATTTTAAAACTGACTCACTACTTAAATTGCAGAAAGTCAATGACTCTGTCTGGATAGCCATAAGTATGTTTTCTGACATGGCTGGTCTTACCATTAAAAAAAGATTATATTCTTTACTGCTCACGTGGGTAAATAATAAGTCACTTGATAAGTCCGTAGCACAATCAATAAAACAACAACTTTTTGGCAAAATTCAAAATTATTCATCAAGGTAGTTTCCTTCAAAAGTAATACAATCCTTCTAGGACTTCTCTAAGTTTTTCTCTATTGTAGAATAGTTATTGTAAAGTAATTGTAGAATAATTTTTGGCCTTGAAATTTGCCTGCTAATATATCATCCTTCGGATTTATTAGCCGATGTGTTAATAAAATATTTGATCACGATTGTGTAAGACAAGAGAAGAACTGACTAAGTGATAGTCACTAACCTATCTAACCTAACCTGATCTATACTACAATTTAGAAGTTTTTTAGAAGTCACCAACCAATCTAACCTAACCTGACCTATACTTAGAAGTTTTTTATTTTTTAACTTGAATATCGGTGTTACCAAATAAATATATGTATATAACAGAATATTTTATACATATATGTGCATTTAAATTAAATATATATTATATTATAACTCCTAATATTTCTGTTTTTATATTTTTACGTTTTTTTTACTTATTTACTTATTTTTTTTTTATTTAATATTTTTTATATTTAATTTTTAAAATTGTTTGGATACCATAATGAGTTCGCATTTCCTTTCGCACTATCAGAATTCATTTATAATATAAACAACGGCATTTGAGTTTACTACCGGAAATACTTTCTCCAAAACTAAATTAAAATAAATGCTAAAATATTTACAAGTGTGCAGTTCTATTTAGTATATTTATTTAGTGTTTCAGTATAAAACAAAAGTTCAATGATTTAAATTTATTTTCCATACATACGAGTTTGTTTGCACACCGCTTTTTAAATACGTATAAATTTTAATTATATTTGCTTATATTTCAGATAAGCCATGAATCGAAAAGATAATGAGCAAAACTCATTTAAATATAGTACATACGAGTATGGTATATAACATACAATAGAATTTTATGTAGATATATCTGTAATAATTTTCAATGTGTTTTCAAGCGTGTTATGAATATATGGCAAAGATAAAATTGTTATTAGAAATCAAATAGCAAAATAAGTTTAAAAAAAGTTGCAAATGAGCTGCAAATATTATTTGTTACAAAGTTTTTCATTTACAAAATAAATTAATAATAAATTTAATTGTTACTTTTGTAAACAATTGATAATAAATGATATATAATAGGAAAAAATATTCACGACATTTGTTTACATGAGGTACACATATAAAACTTACGAAAAGTAAATAATGAGTTAACGATATTAAAGGTTTTTTCAAGTTAGATTTGTAATTTAGATAAATCTATTAAAAATTGTTTATTTTACGCCGCCATGTGTGATAGGAAACATAAGATAAATAACTGAGATCCTTTAGAAGATTGAATCTTTAAGTGAAGTAATATATCATATTAATGAATTATTGCGGTGAATATTGGTTTATAGTTACTCTTAATTGAAACAATGATTTGGATTGATATGATCTAGTCATATATTTCACATCATGTAGTTCTGTAATAATTCCAAGCTTAGTAAAATCATAAGTTCCAAAAGGTCTTGTGTTAAAAAATCCAGCGAGTACACTGGCTGTGCTGCACATCTTGCGAAAATGGATGATAAGGATACAGCTAAAAAGATGTTGTCAACGGTATCCTCAGGGGAAACCTCAGTAGATTTCTAGGTTTGAAAGATTAAATACTGATAGATCTGTCTACGCTTAATATTTCTAATTAGCGTCAACGTTTAGAACGAAATGGTTACTGACGGTGAAATTCGAACATAACCAAAACCGATATACGATTATAATAGCTAATTAACTAAATTTATTGATTGGTCGTTATAATATCAAAAACTTGTTGTATTATGATAGTTGAATTAAAATTAAACCATATAATTGTTTTTAGCTGGTTTATGATTTTGTTCTAATAAAACATAGCATATGAATTCGTTAATAAACTTTCACAAAAAAATACAACCAGAATTTAGAATAATATAAGTCAAGTATGTCTTAGTTTCAAATGACAAGGTCATTTCAGTGCTTGCAGTCCATAACAATTAATTGCGAATAATTAAATATAATAGATATTTCCAAAAATACCACTAATAATGGCAATACTTGAAATAGTTTTATAATCAACCAAAAATTCAATTAATTGAAAATAAAATTTTTCTGTTCACTATAATCCAATATAAAACGTATAAACTAGATAGATATAGTACCGCAGATCGCAGATCTGGTGTTCTTCGCAGACCATTATTTATATGAAACTTATTTGTAATATCTATTTTTGTTAAGCAATTTTAAGTTCGATTGAAGAAATGTTGTAGATATTTAGGTATTGGGAGTGATATAAGTCTCAAATTATAGGATAGGCTTTGAACCATAGATAATTACGTAAAAAGATTAGTTACAGTATTTTATAATTTACAATTTAATGAAAAAAAAAAAATCAATATATTATTTGGAACATTGTGGATGTTAAGAACTTTACTTTATGTAAGATGAGCAAAAGATAAAGCTTCTATAAAAGTATTTTATATGTATTAAAAAAAAACTTTTCAAGTAACACATACAAAATAGAAGCATAATGTACATTAATATGTTAATCGTTTTCAATGTTAAAAAGTACCAGCTAAGAGCACTAAAGAAATCTTTCACAAAATCTTTAAATTTTTTTTTAATATTAAAAAGTGATAGTTTACAGCACTTAAAAATTTAAAAAAAAAAAAAAATTTTAATGAAAAAAACAAATATTTTAACAAAATTTATAGTATATTTATTTATAGTATAACGTATTTCATATGTTCACAAGTGACAACATTTATTTAGGTATGAATAACAACGATAAATAGTCGTGTTATCAGATCTTTTTTGCTTTTTGCACCACTTCAAATATTGTATTCAGAACTTATAATTTGATTTTTTTTTTGGTCGTCTTTTTTTTTTTGTGCTTGACTTTTTATGATTTAATGATGACATTATTTCTGCTAAAACGCCGAAATGTCACACAAAATGGTCCATCAGTTTCATTATAAATTGGCTAAAAGCTAAAATGTTCATAATTCAAGCGCACGTTGCATTTGAATTGATTAATGATGCCGCAAGGCAACAACATAATCGCTGATTCGCAATTCAATCAGGACCAAAATTCGCATCCTTAAATATACAAAATGATACGGAATTGTCGCATGCCATTGTATAGTATGTATTTTGTTGGCTTAACTTATGGCTCTTTTTGGCTGGCCATTAATCATGGCGAATATCCGGGAGGAGTGGCCAAACACATAAACATGAAATGCAAATTTCATACAATTATTATTGTAATTTATGTTTTTGAATTCAATTTCTTACGAGTGACACATAAAAAGTTCAATTATTCATTTTCGTACTTCAAAATCAAAAGAGCAATCATATATGTTATACAAAAATATTACTATTAAACCATGAATAGCGATATTGTTGTTTTGAAGTACTTTGCTTTTATGAGATAAAATTTTTATTTATTTTTTAAATAATAACTAGATAAATTAACTTAATTGCAGTCATAATATGTTTGCAGAGTCGACCAAAGGAAGTGGTTCTCCATTTATTCTTAA